ATATAAATTCGCCCGTTTTCTCATTGAAAATAGGTCAATTTCAAAATATCACTGTCCTGGTCACAAAAGAAAAGTTTGTAGGGAATAATATCCATTTTCTATACTTTTTTAGGCATAAGCAATTAAAAAATAACACTTACTACCCAGGGACAAAATTTTTGTTACATAGTGAATTATAATCTATGGGCAATGTAAATACACTTGCAATGTAAAGTGTTATGGACAATTTTAGACTCTATCTACGTGCCATGTCCTCTCAAATACCTCAGCAATCATGGCTTCCCGTCGCATATTATCCATGATATTTACTCAACAGCTTGTTAACAACTTCAGTGCAATGTAAGCGTGTGGGTAAGGTTATTATATCTCGCTTTATGTCCATGATATGACGTCTTTTATTTTCGTTGCCTATAAGGGGGAGTGTGAATAGACACATTTTGGTGTTCATGATGTCGTGTCTTCGTTCGGAATTCCACAATTAGACATCGCGTGTTGCGTGGGTGAATAATGTTATTGAGTATTCGTGAATCGTCTTATTGCGTATAAATAATGATGTGGCAGACGTCAATGTTATCAATCCATCGATTAGAAATGATTGCCAATCTAACGATACATGCATGTAATTCGACGTGTTAAGAATCAATGTGGAGTTTTCTTGTTCAGTTATCACGTGGTGTACGTTATGGGTACACGTCACAACTGCGGCCACTAGAGGCGCTATCATTCACTACAATGTGAACAAGCCAATATCGTTGTTGAGTCCAATCGTTGATCCGGATTTGCAACGATTTTTTTGTAAACGGGTGCGCTGTATAAATCGTTCCACCCCTAATCACCATAAATTATCAACGTCCAATTTTATTCAAATTATGTGTTGGTGATGCTGCTGCTGCGTTGTCAGCAGTACACAAACAATAATAACTTCTCACAGGCACATTGGTGAATAACACGCTGTGTGTGTGGCCTTATAAGAAAAAGTATATATAAATAAGCGACGTTTTGGGCAATGGCCCATCTTCATAGCACATTAAAAACAAACATCACCCCCCCCCCTCCCAGTAATAACCAGGGCGGCCGCTGAATTCGAACCTCTGCATTGTCGCAGAGCAGAGCTTACACATGAATCAAATACAAAAACTCAGTCGCGATACAAACGAATGTAAATGATGTTTTTCATTTTTACTCCATGAGATACATGTTTCATAAGCCACGGCAGTAGCAGATGCAGATGCTCAATGCACAAATGTAAAATAAATACGTAAATATCCGCTCGCGTACGGTCACCACAAAGAACAGAACCGTGGATGCATATAACACAAGACCTGTGGGCCGATTCATCACAAATACAAAGGTGTCATCATCATCATCACGGGCGAGATGACTCACCCACTCCTCTCCTGCTGACGCAATCATACTGGCTCATCAACAACCTCGACGTAGAATTACAACTGCTGCTTTCAACATCGAAAGGAAAAGACATTGGTCAATAATGTAATTCCTCAATTGGGTACGTTATTTCAATCCTCAATTTTAGTAAGTAGTTTAATTCCTCACCGTATAATTCCTTGCCACATAATTCGCTTCGAACACATTTATTTTCTAAAATAGTTGTAGGTCAACATCATTGTAATTGGTGGTGGGGGGGGTGAAACAATCCATGTTTGGATATTTTTCGCGTGACAATTTTTTTCACTTCTACGAGCGAATTCAACTCCGCAAAAATTGTCCACAACCAAGGGGGCGCGAGACAACACCGGGACATCGTCGCCAGGGCCATCGCGGGAACAAAAGTTCCACAACCAGAATCATTCCAATTATAGCCACAACTTTACACCCGACAGCACCACCCCTTTCCGCTCTCCCGCCGTTCTCCTCTGTGCGCCTCCACGTGCGTGTGTCTACGTGTGTATGTCTACGTGTGTGTACGTGTCTTTGTGTGTGTGTACGTGTCTTTGTGTGTGTGTACGTGTCTCCAGTTTAACAGCGAAGGTCTCACTCCGAATCAGTCGAGCGGCAATGTCTTTTCATCGGTTGCGTAACGCTGTGTGGAAGCTACCTGGTCTGTGGCTCCGCACTAAGCTTCAGGTCTTCTCGGCCACGGTCATTCCCTCCCTTCTCTACGCTTGCGAAACGTGGACCCCCTTAATGGAGCATCTTCGCCGATTAGAAACATTTAGGCTGGCCTGCCTACGATCCATCCTGGGTTTAACCAGGCTGGATTGTGTGAGGAGCTCACAAATCCTTGAAAGATCTGGACAAGGCCCCATCGGTGAGCTCCTCCGGCAGGCAAGGCTGCGTTGGCTGGGTCATGTAGCCCGCATGCCCAGCCTCCGCATGCCGAAACAGCTTTTGTTCGGCCGGATCGAGGGGGCTAAACCGGCGCGGCACGGGCTACAGAAGAGATGGAGTGATGTGGTACAGGAGGATGTGGAGCTGAGTGGGCTTGCCGATGACTGGTGCCAGCGGTGTCAAGATCGGCCTCTGTGGAGGAGGCTCGTGAAGGACGCTATTGGGCAGCTGGATGCAGTCGCCCACCAACAACAACGGAGGGCGGAGGAGCGACGCTCACAACAACGAGCGGAGCGCCGGGTGGCTAAAGCACAGCAGGTTGGCACAGTAGGGGGCACAGGTGGTGCACCAGCCAGTCATCTCAGTCAGTCGACCCGTGGCACCTGGGTCTGCCCCGTGACCTCCTGCCAGCGGGCGTTCGACACTTCACGTGGCCTCAAGGTGCACATGGCCTGGCACAAGCGTCGTGGTGACGTCACCGCCACTTAGTGACGAATGGCGGTTGTTGTTGCACGTGTCTTTGTGTGTGGGAGGAGCGGTAGTGTAGCGGTTAGCGCGCTGCGCTACGAACCCGCCGGCGACCCGAGTTCAATTCCCGCTCACGGCCAACACCAATAACGAATATCTGAACCGGTCCTGGGCCTCCCGTAGGTCGACTCAGCCTCAAATGAGTACCTGGTGCAATGTGTAAAAAATAATCTCCACTGGGGAGACAAAGGCGGCCGGGCGTGGCGCTGGCCACCCACCCTCTCGTGTGCCGTGCCGGCCTTCGTAGGTGCTCGCTAACAGCACTTGCCCCTACAGTCTGTTACAGACTACACGGGGGGGGGGGGATATTTGTGTGTTTTTGTGTGTGGGTGACCAATCGGTCGGGACAAGTTTGGACAACCCCGAAACGAAGCAATCGACTCACACCTCCAGCACCGGCAGCGCCTCGCCCGTGCACGCGGCACGGCCGTCAGCCTGCGCGTCGTGGCCACCCAACGGCCACGCCACTGCTGCAGGTGCCGTTTGATAATTGTTAAAGTGAGCAACCAGTTAGAATGTCTGTGCGCGTGTCTGGTGGCCCATATACCCCACATTGCAGTAGTTGAGCGTGTGTTTGGGTTTACCGGTCAGCTGGTCACTGCGAGCGAGCAGCGGATGTACTATTGACAACCGCTCTGGTTGTATAGAGAAACTGGGTCACCGTCATGGCAATGTGGAATTTCCAGGATTGGCTTTGGGGCTGCTCCGCCGTGCGGAGCCCAGCTGATGCCCGAACAGTCCGAAGAGCGCGGTCGCTTGTTGTGTCCCCACGTAGTTCACTATCGATCCTGAGCCACGCGCAGAGAGAGAGAGCTGAGCGGAGTCGGTCATCGTTATAATTTTTTTAACCTATGGGGCCATCGCACACGTTGTCCCTGGCGCCACCACCACGTCCGTGTGTTTGGCAGCCTCGTGGACGGCTCCGTCGTCTTCAATTGCAAAGGCGCCGCGTCTGCGCTGCTGCGAGGATGGTGGATCGTGCAAAGATGGGAGTCTCCTTCTAGGATGATGCGAAGAGGAAAAGGTGCAAAAGGCAGCAGTGCTGGTGGAGAAAGAGACTTTAAGGAGATCTCAAGACAGCTGAATTCCGATTTAAAGCTTTCGTGACTGCAAGGATTCATCTTCTTTGGTTCTTTCGGTAAAGTCACGTAGAATGAGAATAAAATAATAAATTGATAAAATAAAATAACACAATAATATTCTCACGACGTTTCGGTCACAACACAAGCGGCCTTCATCAGGTGAAGAGGACGAGACTGTCTGGAGGACAGCGCTGTCCTCCAGACAGTCTCAGCGTTGTCCTCCCGTGACTTTACCGAAAGAACCAAAGAAGACAGCTGAATTCATCAAGCAGCAATAACCAACTGTGATGAAGTATGGTCGAAGCTCCGACACCGACTGGGGGAGCCTTTATTTCATCCAGCAGTGGATGAGCACGCAGCGTACGCATACACACATCTGGTGGTCATGCAAGTATGCCACACAAGTATGTCACACACAAGTATGCCACACAAGTATGTCACACACACCACAGGGTATGTGTGACACACATACCACAGGGTATGTGTGACAGGGGTAGATTCACACCGCCCGTAGGACGGGCTGCTGTCTTCTTGTAGCCACTGACATTTATATAGCGCAGTGTATAAACATGCCCGTGAAAGTACACATTCCCACACAGATATAGAGGCCACACGCATACATACAGGCACATACGCGCTCACTCACTGACACGCTCATGCAAAGACAAAGATCCCCCATCTCGGCTGTATCGACTGTTGGGGCACGTGCTGGCAGCGAATACGGCGCACGATGTGGCGGTTTGGTGAAACACCACGCCCGGCCGCCTTTGTCTCTCCCTCGTGGCGATGTTTACACCGCACCAGGTATTAATTGTACGGCTGGGTCGACTTAGGGGAAGCCCAGAACCGACTCGGATATTCGTCACCAATTTTGTCCAGGAGCGGGAATCGAACTCTGATTGCCGGTGTTTATAGCGCGGTGCACTAACTACTACGCCACCGCTCACATATACACAAAACAACAAACGATCCCCCATATAGCCTCAACAGACTGTTGGGGCAAGCGCTGTTAGCGAGTAGCACCTATGAAGACCGGAACAGCTCACGACGGGGTGGGTGGCCAGCACCACGCCCGACCGCCTTTGTATCTCCAGTGGCGATGTTTACACACCGCACCTGCAGTTTACTAATTTATGGCTGAGTCCACCTAGGCGCGGGGTAAGGCACAGGCCCGGTTCGGCTCTCACCTGCCATTGACTGATGTTGTCCGTGAAGGTAAAGATCCATCGCTCGGTGCGCTAACCGCTGCGCCACCGCTCCCCACTCATCCCCCACCCCATCCCCCCACAGCTGCCGCCGTCACCGGCCGCTCTCGTTGCGTGGAGCAGCATCGCGGATGAGCCGGGCTCGAAGCGGCTGCATCCCGCCAGTGCTGGCTGTTGTCGACCTCATCATCAACCTCCTTCGCTTCCTCCAACTGGTCCACCTCTTTATCATCATCATCATCAGCAGCAGCAGCGTCCTACTCCTCCTCTGCTCGCCAATGATCATCGTCACAGCTGCGTAGGGGGATGGGACCCTGCGCGCTCGGGAGGCGCTGCGGATGAGAGAGGCTCAAAGGCGGACGCGGAGAGAGCGGCGCAGCGGAGGTGAGCCCGCGGGAACGCATGGCGGGGTGGCACGTGCACTGATACGTACTCGCCTGTACACAGCACTGATACGTACGCGCCTGTACACAGCACTGATACATGCGCCTGTACACAGCACTGATACGTACTCGCCTGTACACAGCACTGATACATGCGCCTGTACACAGCACTGATACGTACTCGCCTGTACACAGCACTGATACATGCGCCTGTACACAGCACTGATACATGCGCCTGTACACAGCACTGATACATGCGCCTGTACACAGCACTGATACATGCGCCTGTACACAGCACTGATACATGCGCCTGTACACAGCACTGATACATGCGCACACAACTACCGAGTGCTTTAGCTCATTGGGTACGCGTCCGCTGATACACGCACGTACGCACGGCGCCGAATGCCGTAGGAGCGCATGCATACGCTGAGGTGTGTACTCACCCGTAGCACGTGCATCATACGCAGCAAGGGTTTGAGGGTGAGCTCGTGTACGCGTGTGTGGCATGTACAAAGACAGAGATCGCCTTTATAGGGCAAGTGCCAACAGGGCACACGAGGGGATGGGTGGCCAGCACCACTCCCGGCCGCCTTTGTCTCCCCAGTGGCGACGCTTACACACCACACCAGCTACTCATTTGATGCTGAGTCGACCTAGGCGAGGCCCAGGACTGGTGGTGGCCGTGAGCTGGAATCGTAGCGCAGTGCGCTGGCATACAATCGCATGCGTGCACGCACACTGCCACGTACACTCCTCGTGCATGTGCAGTTGACACGGTGACATTGTACCCGAAGTGGGAGCTTCACTCAAGACCTTTCTCAGGAGGGTCGGGCTGGGTTGGCCAGGTGCGTGTGAGTGCACTGGCAGTGTGTGTGGGGCTTGCGTGTGCTTTGTGGAGTGCATGTGGAGTGCATGTGGAGCTCTTCCACTGGCAGAACAAAGTACATAATGTAACTTGTTTATTCAGGAGCGCCACACTGAGTCGTTGGACTCTTTTTCAGAAGGCTCCCGCTGCTTTCACATTGGACTTTCATCTATTTTAAGATGATTATTTCCAGCCAATTAAGGACGAGTGCTTATTATTCACGTGGGCAAGAGGTAACCAGAGCACCCGGGAAAAACCCCACGGCTTGCACAAGGGGGCAACGCTCTATCCTCCGTGCAGATGGAATACATGGAAATTAATCAGAGGTGTTAGCCTTTCTGACAATGAAACAAATGTTAAGATGTTCGAACATTAAATAGAGATACATTTTGCAAGGACACCTGGTGTATTTCTAGAAAGCGTAAACCCTGTTCTTGTTTTGGAGATGAGTCCACATTTTGGTGTACCGCCGTCTCCTGGCTAGCCAGGGTATGGCACTCCCTCGACGCACACGGGAAGGGAGTTTCGCAACATCCTCTATGTGTGATCCACCAACCCTTGCTGCTGCCTCCAAGTTGGCAGATCACAAACAGCTCCCACCAGTATCGCCTCTTTGCTCTGCCTACAACGAGAAGTGTGTAGCCAGTATGAGGGGTGTGTAGCCAGTAGAAGGGGTGTGTAGCCAGTAAGATGAGTGTGTAGCCGTAGGAGGGATGTGTAGCCAGTAAGAGGGGTGTGTAGCCATAGGAGGAGTGTGTAGCCAGTAGTAAGAGGGTGTAGCCAGTAAGAGGAGTGTGTAGCCAGTAGGAGGAGTGTGTACCCAGTAAGAGGAGTGTGTAGCCTGTTGGAGGAGTGTGTAGTCAGTAGGGGGGTGTAGCCAGTAGGAGGGGTGTGTAGCCGTAGGAGGGGTGTGTAGCCAGTAGGAGGGATATTTAGCCAGTAGCAGGAGTGTGTAGCCAGTAAGAAGATTGTGTAGCCAGTAGGAGGAGTATGTAGGCTGTAGGAGGGGTGTCTAGCCAGAAAGAGGAGTGTGTAGCCTGTAGGAGGAGTGTATAGTCAGTAGGGGGGGGGGTGTAGTCAGTAAGGGGTGTGTAGCCAGTAGGAGGGGTGTGTAGCCAGTAGAGGTGTGTAGTCAGTAGGAGTGTGTAGTCAGAAGGAGGGGTGCGTAGCCAGTAGGACGAGTGTGTAGCCAGTAGGAGGAGTGTATAGCCAGTAAGAAGGGTGTGTAGCCAGTAGAAGGGATGTGTAGCCAGTAGGATAAGTGTGTAGCCAGTAGGAGGAGTGTGTAGCCTGTAGAACGGTTGTGTAGCCAGTAGAAGGAGTTTGTAGCCAGTAGAAGCGGTGTGTAGCCAGTAGGAGGGATGTGTAGCAAGTAGGAGGAGTGTGTAGCCAGTAGGAGGGGTGTGTAGCCTGTAGGAGGGGTGGTGTAGCCAGTAGAAGGAATGTGTAGCCAGTAGTAGGGGTGTGTAGCCAGTAGAAGGAGTGTGTAGCCAGTAGGAGGGGTGTGTAGCCAGTAGGACGGGTGTGTAGCCAGTAAGAGGGATGTGTAGCCAGTAGGACGGGTGTGTAGCCAGTAAGAGGAGTGTGTAGCCAGTAAGAGGAGTGTGTAGCCAGTAAGAGGAGTGTGTAGCCAGTAGGAGGGGTGTGTTGTCAGTAGTAGGGGTGTGTAGCCAGTAGGAGGGGTGTGTAGCCAGTAGGAGGAGTGTTTAGCCAGTAGGAGGGGTGTGTAGCCAGTAGAAGGAGTGTGTAGCCTGTAGGAAGAGTGTGTAGTCAGTAAGAGGGGTGTGTAGCCCGTAGGAGGGGTGTGTAGTCAGTAGGAGGGGTGTGTAGTCAGTAGGAGGGGGGTGTAGCCAGTAGGAGTGTGCAGCCAGTAGGAGGGGTGTGTAGCCAGTAGGTGGAGTGTGTAGCCAGTAAGAGGGGTGTGTAGTCAGTAGGAGGGGTGTGTAGCCAGTGGGACGGGTGTGTAACCAGTAAGAGGAGTGTGTAGCCAGTAGGAGGGGTGTGTATCCAGTAGGAGGAGTGTGTAGCCAGTAGAAGGGGTGTGTAGCCAGTAGAAGGGGTGTGTAGCCAGTAAGGGAGTGTGTAGCCAGTAAGAGGAGTGTGTAGCCAGTAGGAGGGGTGTGTAGCCAGTAGAAGGGGTGTGTAGCCAGTAGGAGGGGTGTGTAGCCAGTAGAAGGAGTGTGTAGCCTGTAAGATGGGTGTGTAATCAGTAAGAGGGGTGTGTAGTCAGTAGGTGGAGTGTGTAGTCAGTAGGAGGGATGTGTAGCCAGTAGTGGGGGTTTGTAGCCAGTAAGAGTGTGTAGCCCGTAGGAGGAGTGTGTAGCCCGTAGGAGGGGTGTGTAACCAGTAGGAGTGTGTAGCCAGTAGGAGGGGTGTGTAGTCAGTAGGAGGGGTGTGTAGCCAGTAGGAGGGGTGTGTAGTCAGTAGGAGGAGTGTGTAGCCAGTGGGACGGGTGTGTAGCCAGTAAGAGGAGTGTGTAGCCAGTAGGAGGAGTGTGTAGCCTGTAGAAGAGGTGTGTAGCCAGTAGGAGGGGTGTGTAGCCAGTAGTATAAGTGTGTATCCATTAAGAGGGGTGTGTAGCCAGAAGAAGGGGTGTGTAGCGAGTAGAAGGGGTGTGTAGCGAGTAGGAGGGGTGTGTAGCCAGTAAGAGGGATGTGTAGTCAGTAAGAGGGGTGTGTAGCCAGTAGGAAGTGTGTAGCCAGTAAGAGGAGTGTGTAGCCAGTAGGAGGGGTGTGTAGTCAGTAGGAAGGGTGTGTAGCCTGTAGGAGGGGTGTGTAGCCAGTAGGAGGGGTGCGTAGCCTGTAGGCGGGGTGTGTAGCCAATAGGAGGAGTGTGTAGTCAGTAGGAGGGTGTGTAGCCAGTAGGAGGAGTGTGTAGCCAGTAAGAGTGTGTAGCCAGTAAGATGAGTGTGTAGCCAGTAAGAGGGGTGTGTAGTCAGTAGGAGGAGTGTGTAGCCAGTAGGAGGGGTGTGTAGCCTGTAAGAAGGGTGTGTTGCCAGTAGAAGGGGTGGGTAGCCAATAGGAGGAGTGTGTTGCCAGTAGGAGGGGTGTTTAGTAAGTAGGAGGGGTGTGTAGTCAGTAAGAGGGGTGTGTAGCCAGTAGAAGGGGTGTGTAGCCAGTGGGCGGGGTGTGTAGTCAGTAGGAGGAGTGTGTAGTCAGTAGGAGGGGTGTGTAGCCTGTAGGAGGGGTGTGTAGCCAGTAGGAGCGGTGTGTAGTCAGTATGAGGGATGTGTAGCCTGTAGGCGGTGTGTGTAGCCAATAGGAGGAGTGTGTAGTCGGTAGGAGGGTGTGTAGCCAGTAGAAGGAGTGTGTAGCCAGTAAGAGTGTGCAGTCAGTAGGAGGAGTGTGTAGCCAGTAGGAGGGGTGTGTAGTCAGTAGGAGGGGTGTGTAGCGAGTAGGAGGGGTGTGTAGCCAGTGGGCGGGGTGTGTAGTCAGTAGGAGTAGTGTGTAGTCAGTAGGAGGAGTGTGTAGCCTTTAGGAGTGTGTAGCCTGTAAGAGTGTGTTGCCAGTAGGAGGAATGTGTAGCCAGTATGAGGAGTGTGTAGCCTGTAGAAGTTTGTAGCCAGTAGGAGGAGTGTGTAGCCAGTAGGAATCTGTAGCCAGTAGGAGGGGTGTGTAGTCAGTAGGAGGGGTGTGTAGTCAGTAAGAGTGTGTAGTCAGTAGGAGGGGTGTGTAGTCAGTAGGAGGGGTGTGTTGCCAGTAAGAGGGGTGTGTAGTCAGTAGGAGTGTGTAGTCAGTAGGAGTGTGTAGTCAGTAGGAGGGGTGTGTAGCTTGTAGGAGTGTGTAGTCAGTAGGAGGAGTGTGTAGTCAGTACGAGTGTGTAGTCAGTAGGAGTGTGTAGTCAGTAGGAGGGGTGTGTAGCCTGTAAGAGGGGTGTGTATTCAGCATGTTGTTATACAGTCGATATGCCTCTGGAGGCGGTTGTGTGGCTCTCTGGATGAGTGGGCAAGCTGACAATGGACCGCGAGCCTCATTAATTCTGCCGCACTTACATAACGCGCCCCGATCAAGCCAATCTCAGAGTCGCTCATTCCCAATAAAACTCCCACCAGGCAGGCAGGCAGAGCTGTAGCAATTATCTTGACAAGCCGCTGAATTGCTCTCCCTGCATGCGGAGCGAAACGTCGGGCATCC